TGGTTAAATCAGCAAGAATAGAAATGCAGCAATAATGACACCAAGATTTTACGTGGAAACCCTGCTGAATAAGGGAAAAACCACGGCCAAGAAGAGCAAATGATATCACTATAGCGAGAAATTTTACACTGTGTAGTAACAAGTAAAAATACTCCTAAGACCACTACACCCTCAAAAGAAATAAACACTCTTTTGCTTTTTACACCTCACTATAATATCTCTCACACTCTATTTTTCTTCCCAAACTATTTTCTTATAGTTTATGGAATACCTTGCTCTCTCTCTTTTTTCTCTTTGTTAGTGTGTAGAAATGAGAGTTAAGGCTCGCCTTTTATAGCCAAAACCTCGCTCTCTAAAGCCTACAATATTTGACAATTTACACACCATTTTCACAGTTTCAACAAGGTTGGCTATCAAACCAAACTAAGTCAATAAAATTGGCTACCAAATTATACTAATTCAACAAGGTTGGCTACCAAACCAAACCAAGTCAATAAAATTGGCTACCAAATCAATTGAATGCAGCAATTATGATCTACTCCTCCCATGATAAGGAAATGGCGAAGACTACTGAAAGAGACCATGTGCTTTTCCATTTGCAACAGAGGTTTAACCTTGTCAGGGTAGAAGTCGCTCTGATTAAGCTATTAAACTGTCAAGCCACAATAATAGCTCCTCTGAAAGATCTGATTGACTATGTTCGAGAAGAGGTGATATTCTTGGGAAAGTTTCCCACGGATTCATTGGAGCAGTGCAAAGAGCAAACTAAGATAACTGATATTTTGACCCTTGTTCAATCTGCGACTAGCCAAGCATGGTCATTCTTTAATTCTCTTTCTCATGACTCAAAGCAAGAAAACCTGACCGGTGAAATTGTGTGCTTGTATTTTCATTTGCTTCTTAAGTTCAAGTTTATTAATGCAGCAATTAAACAGATGTGTTCCAACATATCTGCATTTTCGACGCTGGACCATCCTATGATAAATATGATAAACTTTCTTCCTATTAACTTTGAGGTCATTGATTCGTATTTCAACATGCTAAAATCCTCAAAGACATCAGCCTCTGGTTGCCCCAAGATGGATTTGGTTTTGATAGGATTTCATGATTATATTCTTGAAAATCTGCTGACTTTTACTGTTGCAGATGAGGTTAAAAAGTTTTACTATGGTTTGTTGCTCCTGGCAACGTACTTTCTTGATCCTCTAGTTCAGTGCATGGGGTGCAAGAAACAAAATAATCTCTTGATAGGATTCGGAACTCTCGTGATTGAGGCTGAATCTGCTATCTCTTTATCTTATGAGGATAGCAACAAAAGTAGGAAGGTCAATCTTGTTCTTCAATTTTTGACTGAGGCTTTCAAGTTTGTCAATCTACTAAAGCACAGAGCAACTTTGAAAGCTGAAATACTGGAATTGATTGAAAGAGCTCATGAAGAGCTTATTTTCCTTGGAGCTTTTCTCATGGATGTTCTTAGACAACATACAGAGCTTAACATATTCAATGATCTCTTGATGCATGCTGAAGTAACTGCCCTCAAGTTAGCACAAATCAGGGGTTCTTGTTATATAAGTTTCATGGACGGAAGCAGCACTGAGAAAATGAGGCTTTCATTATCTGATTATCTATAAGAGATCGAGTCTGTCAAGGTCAAGGTCAGAGAAAAGGCATCACCTTGCAACATGACAGGTGGAGAAGGCCTAATTAATTTTTTATCAAGCCTCCAGGAGGGGGTGCTCAAGTACTATGATGCTTGTTCAATCTCTTTTCTGAAGAATCAGATCCTAGTAGTCAGAGACAAACTAGTTTATTTGGGCTGTTTTCTTGCATATATTGTACTGTATCGCGATGTGCATCAAGAGCTCAAAGATCTCATGAAACATGTTCAAGATATAAAGTATGTCTGTCTCTTACCCTTCAGTGACTATGGACCTGCTTGGTATTACATGTTATATCTGTCTAATGTCAAGCAATTGCTTAAGTTCGTGGAAGCTGAGGTTAAAGTGATTTGTCTTAAAGTTCCAGATTTGTCAAGTTATAGCTTCCCCAAAACAAATGGATTAGGATTCCTCGATTGTTTCTTGGGAAAATTGGAGGAGTTGTTATGTTCTAAGCTCGATTTGATTATTGACTTAAAACATCAGATTGGATCAGTAAGGGAGGGCTTATTGTGTCTAAGATCGTTGACTGATCATTTTGCAGAACACTACAATGAGCATAATGAAATTTATAGTCTTACAGCAAGTGTTACAGAAATGGCATACAAGGCAGAGTATGTCATTGACTCGTGCTTGGCCTGTTCTCACCCACTCTGGTACAAAATTCTTTGGATTTCTGAAGTCGTTGAGAATATCAAGCTTGTACATAGAGGTGTTAGTGAGACTTGGGAGAGAAAGATGATACATGTTACTGTGCACAAAGTGAAAAAGACCTCGACTGATCTTGCACAATCTTTATTAGCTAATACTCCAAGATCAAATGAAGAAATGGTGGGTTTCCAGGATGCAATGGAAGAAATAAAGAACCAGCTACTTGGAGGATCACCTCAGCTAGATGTCATCTCATTGGTCGGCATGCCTGGAATCGGTAAAACTACTCTTGCCGAGAAGATTTACAATGATCTGATAGTTACTCGTCGTTTTGATGTTCATGCTAAGTGTCGTGTGACTCAAGTGTATACATGGAGAGAGCAGATGTTTTCCATTTTGAATGATGTTCTTGAGCCTGCTGATCGCACTGAAAAAGAAGACGGTGAATTAGCTGATGAGCTGCGTCGATTTTTGTTGACCAAGAAATTTTTAGTTCTCATTGATGATGTGTGGGACTATAATGTGTGGGACAGTTTACATATGTGCTTTGAAGATTCTCGGAAAGGGGGTAGAATTATTCTAACAACGCGGCTGAATGATATTGACAGTTATGCTCAATGTGAGAGTAGACCCCATCATCTTCGTTTATTCAGAGATGATGAGAGTTGGACATTATTACAGAAAGAGGTGTTTCAAGGGGAGAGCTGTCCACCTGAACTTGTTGATGTGGGGTTTCGAATAGCAAAACGTTGTGGAGGGTTGCCCCTCTTCATTGTATTAGTTGCTGGTGTTCTGAAAGAGAAAGAAAACAAAGCAGAATTGTGGAAATAAATAGAAGAAAGTTTAGGTTCGGAGAATATTGTTAGCTTGGAAGAGAGCATGTCTATGATTGAATTCAGTTACAAGAATTTACCAAACCAGCTAAAGCCTTGTTTCCTCTATTTTGGAGGACTTTTGAAGGGCAAGGATATTCATGTCACAAAATTGATCCGACCGTGGGTAGCTGAGGGGTTTGTAGAAGCAAATATAGAAAAAGGACCAGAAGATGCTGCTCAAGTTTTCTTGGAAGATCTTATTAGTAGGAATTTAGTGATGAACGTGGAGAAGAGACTCAATGGCAAGGTGAAAACGTGCCGCATTCATGATCTGTTGCATAAATTCTGCTTGGGAAAGGCCAAAGAAGAGAATTTCTTTCGCTGGATCAATAGGTACAATTATATAAGAACTATACTGATTTTATTGTATTATGATAATCTTAATTCGCATTTTCATTGTTTTTCTTTAAGCAGATTCAATGGAGAGGATACATTTCCCGAAGAGGCTAAAGAATACCGGTTGTTTGTTCATTCCATGAGGATCAGATTGATCTATGGCAGTCGTCTCTCTCAAATGTTCGTTCTTTATTATTCAATGTGATTGATCTGGGTAACATGTTATAGCTACGTGATGTCTCTTTCATTTTTGATACTTTCAAACTCATAAGTGTTGGATTTGGAAACCATCAACATTGGTGGTACTTTTCCTGGTGAGTTACAATGTCTTTTTCATATGAGGTACTTTGCTGCTCAAACTGGTGCAAATTCGATTCCTTCATCTATAGTAAGCTTTGGAATCTCGAAACTTTTGTGGTAAGAGGATTGACGGGAGAGGTGATATTACCTAGTTCACTTTTGAAGATGGTTAAATTGAGGAATATACATGTTAACCATCGTGCTTCCTTTAGTTTGCACGAGAACATGGCTGAATCACTTGTTGACTCTCAATTAGATAATTTGGAATCCTTTTCAACTCCACATCTCTTATGGTGAATATGCAGAGATGATGTTGAGAAAGCTGAGTTGCTTAATCTCGGGAACATTTGATTATTCAAAGATAGTGAAGGGAAGGTGTGTTCTCTTTCCTAACTTAGAGTTCCTAAGTCAAATTGAATCCCTCAAGCTTGCTTCCAACAATTATCAGCCAAACTTCCACATGTCTTCAGTTTCCCCTCAAGACTAAGGGAATTGACTTTATTAAAATTCCGTCTGCGGGGCCAAATTTCAGCCATTGGAGAACTGCCTAACTTGGAGATTCTGAAGTTACTTGTCAGAGCTTTTGAAGGGGATGAATGGGAAGTGAAAGACTCAGAGTTCCTTGAACTCAAATACTTGGAATTGGACGACCTCAATATTGCAAAGTGGTCCGTCTCTGATGATGCTTTTCCTATGCTTGAACGTTTGGCTTTAACCAAATGTAAGCGGCTTGAGAAAATCCCATCTCATTTTGATAGGGATGGCAATTGGGGCAGGGCGGGGCAGGGATAATCTTAAATAGGGCGGGGCAGGGGAAGAATTTAACGGGGCAAATTGTTATTTTTAAAAAAATTTAATAGGGCAGGGTAGGGCATATACGGGTTAATAGCTGGGTCGGGTCAAAATAAGTTAGACCCGCGTACCCCCAAATCTTAAATCCCAAACGCTAAAAGCGTAAAACCTAATTTCCAAACTCAGAAGTCAAAAACTTTCAATCTCTCATGCGATTGAGCGATTCTTCTTCCTCTTTGAACTGCTGCGAATCTGCGATTCTTCTTCCTCAAACCTTCTTCGATTCTTCTTCCTCCAGTAAATCCAGGTAAATATCTAATAAGTACATAGTTCTCTTTTTCTCTAATAATTTCCATTCATTTTATCACGACCAGTGGTTTCCGGCCTAGTAAGGGTGTTTCACTGATCAACAGACCTTTTTTGGAGAAGAACTACCTTGGACCAGGTCTACCGGTGTTTATTTGTCAGGTTCGGACTCTATTTTGTTGCTACTTGGTTTCTCTGATTCTATATTTTGTTGGGAGATTAGTGCCGAGCTGCCCTTTTTTTTTTTTTTAATTTTGTTACTGATATATAAAACGATGGGTTGTTTTAGTCTTTTAGAAAATAATGCTTGGCTTCTCCTTCGACAAGAACTAATAGTCTGTCTATGGCTTCTCCTTGGGCTGTTAGAATTGGCATGGCGGGCTTGTTTCATTCTTAATGCCATATTGCTATCGCTTCCTGGTGTGCATAAAATGAAAAAAAAAATTGTTTTCTACTTCCAAATGTTTCCTTTAGGAAAACCTGCACCATGGAACTTATGCTTGGTGAAATTCAGATATCATCTTGTCCAAATCAATCACTTAACTACTGTTTGACTGTTTATTTTGACACAAAAGTGAGTAGGTTCTAGGAATATGACATTTGGTTATTAAATTTTGTTGATGGAGAATGAGACAAATCTTCTCGTCACTGAGACATATACTAAATATCAGTTTTTAGTGATATTTCTTGTCTTTGTTTTACTAGATAATCATGGCATCTCAAATTGAAGAGAATCTACCAGTTTCATCTACTAATGCTATTTCCTTAGACGATGAGAGTCAAAGTCCTTCACAACCTGATGAAGTTGAACTGAAAAAAGGAGATATTCCCGAGCATGGGATCATTTCAAGCCGATGAAGGTTAAGGGTGTTCCATATGGTGCTTGTAAGTATTGCGATCGCCGGTATAAAAATTCTAGAAATTGTGGGACAAAATCTATGTTAGATCACATGCTTAAGTGTCCTAATAGGACAAGAGATGCACAAAATGAGGGCGATACCGGGGGTGCTTATTTTGATCAAGATGTTTCACGTAAAAAAACTTGCACATGCCATTATTTTACACGAGTATCCACTCTCTATAGTTAATCATGTGGGATTTAGGAACTTTGTTGCGAGTCTTCAACCTATGTTTAAGATGGTTTCTAGAAATACAATCAAGAATGACATAATAAAAGTCTTTGACAATTTGAAATCGCAAACTTCTATGTTGCTGGAGAAAGTCACGAGTAGAATTGCAATAACAACCGATATGTGGACTTCCAATAGTAACAAAAAAGGGTTCATGGCTATTACTGGTCATTTCATTGATGATTCATGGAGGCTTCAAAGTCATATTTTGAGATTTGCTTATGTCCCTGCTCCACATGATAAAGATGTTTTGTGTGGTGCTTTGGTTAATTGTTTGTTTGATTGGAATCTTGAACGAAAACTATCGACTATCACAGTTGATAATTGTAGCACAAATAATGCTATGATTAAAACTTTATTGGATGAGAAACTTAATAAAAAAGATTTGTTGTTGAGTGGTCGAGTATTTCACGTGCGTTGTGCTGCACATATTTTAAACTTGATTGTGCAAGAAGGGTTAAAAGTGATAGGAGATAGTATTAAAGTGCGTGATAGTGTCTTGTATTGGATTGGATCAGTTGGCAGAATTGAGAGGTTTGAAGAAGCCGCACGTTTGGTTCACTGTTCTTGTTATAAGAAGTTGGAGTATGATTGTCCTACTCGGTGGAACTCAACATATTTAATGTTGAGAACAGTTATAGAATACAAAGAGGTGTTTAACAAGTTGAGTCTAACTGACACAAATTATAAGTCGTATCCAACTGAAGAGCAATGGAGTAATGCAGAAGATGTTTCTGATAAGCTCAAACTTTTTTATCATATCACTAAATAGTTTTCAGGAACTCAATATCCAACTTCTAGTCAATACTTTATAAAAGTTTGTGAAATTAAATTAGAATTGGAAGCTTGGGTGAAAGAGCTTAATCCTTTGATTAGCGATATGACATCTGCCATGTTGTTGAAATTTTAAAAATATTGGGATGATGTGCATATTTTGATGGGAGTAGCTACAATCTTTGATCCACGGTACAAGATGAGGTTGGTAGAGTTCTTTCTTCCACTAATTTATGGTGAAGAAGTTTCAACTAAAATTCAAGAAGTTCGATCCAGTTGTTATGATCTCTTTCAAGATTATATGAGTAAATTATCTGCTCCACATGATTCATTAGCATCTAATTCTAGTGAAGTCACTAGTTTTACTCAGGGTGATCGGCTTTCGAGCTTTGATAGATTTGTAGCTTCAACTGGATCTACCGTGGAGAAAAGATCAGAGTTGGATATGTACTTAGAAGAAGACCTACTACCTCGAACCCCTTCATTTGATAATTTGAGTTGGTGGAAGACAAATGGATTGAAATTTCCTACATTGCAAAAAATGGCTCGTGATCTCTTAGCCATTCCCCTGTCTAGTATTGCTTCAGAATCGGCATTTAGCACTAGTGGGAGGTTGATTAGCCCGCATCGGAGTAGACTCCACCCCACTACTTTGGAAGCTTTAATGTGTTCTCGCACGTGGTTATGGAATGACTTAAATGGTAAGTAATTTTCTCATTATTGTCTTAATAGGTATTCAATTGTTTAATACTATATTGATACATTGAACTATGCATTTTTCCTTTTAGGTTTGACTTCAACCGTTGATCAAGTTTCATGTCCNTCTCTTAGCCATTCCCCTGTCTAGTATTGCTTCAGAATCGGCATTTAGCACTAGTGGGAGGTTGATTAGCCCACATCGGAGTAGACTCCACCCCACTACTTTGGAAGCTTTAATGTGTTCTCGCACGTGGTTATGGAATGACTTAAATGGTAAGTAATTTTCTCATTATTGTCTTAATAGGTATTCAATTGTTTAATACTATATTGATACATTGAACTATGCATTTTTCCTTTTAGGTTTGACTTCAATCGTTGATCAAGTTTCATGTCCAACATTTCTTGATGAAGAGGACGAGCCGGATTCAAGTGGTTTATCGCAACTATGAGACCCTTGACATGCTACTGTTTTTCCACAAACTATCTACCATTTGTCACTGAGCGTGAGCTTTTTAAGCCAACAGATGTGCTTTGCAAGAGGAAAAATGCGGTTCATCCAATTCCTATTTTTGTGTTCTTCTGTGTCTGTTTCAACAGCCAAGATTGCAACTTTGTGTTCTTTTGGTTCATTATTCTTCAACAGCAAGAGGGCACTGTTTTTGGGTCTTGCTATAACCACAAGAAAAGTAATTGGTTAATCTTGATTACCTTGCTGGAATTTCAGTTTATTTTGTTGAGCATTGCATCTGCTGTAGCATTCTGTTTCTTTTTGTTTATCATTCCAGTGTGAGATGAATTTAAATGGAAACATGGTTGGTGATTACAATAATGGCATTCTAATTTGCTAGACATGAGAGAATGACATGTTCACTTTAATTATACGTACATCTTTTTCTTTCTGAAGAGATGTTAGAGAGGTGAGAAGAGATTTCACATTTGGCCTGTCATGAGGTTCGTGTTGCAAACAACGCGAAGCAAGTTGCACTAACTCACTCCCATCGTCATTTGAGAAGTGACCTTCCAAGAAAGAATCGATAAGCATCCATTGATTTGTGGCATAGTAATAGGATCATCCATTGCTAAAATATCCAATTCCGGTAAATTTGTGGCATACAAATCAGAAGCATCATAAGCTAATATTCCCAAAACTGGTGCTAGATAAGTGTAACCAGGCAAAGAATAACCTCTCCATTTTAAGCAGAACAATGTTTTGGTAAACCAGAACAAGATCCTCTACATTACTACATAAGGCTCCTCAATGACCACAGTTGGGATAAAAAACTCATTATAGTAACCATAACCTCTCCATTTTAAGTTGTTTCTTTAAATTATGAAGATGGGATCTTCTCATACAGTATATTTAAACATAATATTACAAATTAGAAAAAAAAACAATACAAGACTACAAGAGAACCTAAACAGGGCAGGGCGAGGCGGGGCGGGGCAATATTTGAAAAAATTCTAAATAGGGCAGGACGGGTCAAAATATTAGCATGTCAAGGCTTGCCCCCCCCC